GCGCCCGGCCACTGACACTATTTTCTAAGGATGACAACCTCACTGAAATACAGACAGTCTCTGACTTACAACTTTTCAAGTTTACAACGGCTTATCAGGGTATTAAATGCATTTTCTATTTATGATAGATTTATGAGGGTATAACCCCATCGTAGGATGAAGAGCATCTGTATGCTTCACCTGAAAGGTTGGGGTCCATTTTTAAAGGGTCTGTGGAAAGATAAGCCAGGTGGTGAATGGTGACAATGACTATTTTCCACGGCACTGCTCATTAAATCAACCTTGGTATAATTAGGAAAGACAAAATTCAAGCCAGTCTTGGAATCATTGGTTTAATGGTTCTCAATAAATGGTTAAGATTGATGTTTCCAGCCAAGTGAGATTTGGGTTTAGATACAGTTTGGGCTTAACTATCCTTTATCTCAGATTAAATGAGACAGTGCATGTAAACCACTTAGAAGAATGCCTGGAACACATTAACTTTCATTAGTAATGTTTTTGGTCATTCTTAAACATTTTCACTTCTGCCACCACTCTTTACGCAGAGTCTGGCACATAGCTGTCACTCAACGAATGTGAGTAAACAAACACCAGACACTTTAGTCTGCCAGGTCTTTGACATGCAAACCCATGGGGCCGGGTCTATACACTCCCTCCACTGAGCAAAAGACAAATGGCTTAGGCTACAAGGTTTGGGTCATCAAGGAAAGCTGTCAAATAATGAAGTGGGTTAGCAGATTCCTAAAAATTGGAACCATTTCAGCAGCAGTTTCATCCACAGGGAGACAGAGTAAATGCTCTCTCAGATCTGTCTCACATCTATAGAAACCTTACTCTGTTTATAGTCTTTTGGCATCTTGCTCTGCTATCTCACTTGAGATCACTCCTACAGAACTAATAGAGGAATAAATCAAAAGCAAACCAGTATAAGTAGAGATGCAATAAAATCTGGCTGTCTTGAATCCTGAGGGGCTTGCACATACTTGTTAAGGCATGCAGTGTGTGCTAGGGGCTTCAGCAGGGAATTCTACACAAGGACATGGTGTAGGAAGCAAAGACGAACCAACCCAAGTGGTACTAAAGAGGACAAGATGGGAAGGACATTTTTATTTTCCCTAATCTTCAGGCAACCTCACCAAGCTGGAGGTCACATGTAGCTGAGTGTGAAACCGAGAAAAATATGAAGCTTAAAAAGTACTGTGCGTTGTATTTCTTCAATCTCTGGCAGGCTGGGAGTCCAAGGTCAGTCTAGGCAGGAGGGCTGCTTGGCCTAAGCAATCATACAATCTTCACCGTCTTGAGCATATCTGACAAGACATACGTGTCATCCCAACCCCTCCCAGGCTTCCTCAGGGTCTGCTCCAAAGCCTGGGCTGTTTCTAGGAGCTCTGGTGTGGCAAGTTTTTGCTCAGGGTGCAGCTGACAGAACAGGATCTCATTCACTTCACCCTCAATTCGCCGGACATATAGGAGGGGGAACACTGCCTTGAGCCCAGCCAGCACTGAGTCCTTTAGCCCCAAGTCTCGGCACACGAGGTTGAGAATAAAAACACCTATAGGGTAGGAAGAAAAGTCAGAATGACCTCACATCAGGAGACATATCAAAGATAAGGATCGGCTTTGAGGAAAATACCAATTCCTGTCCCAAGGAGACTGATGGACTAAAACGCACTTATGATGGTGGTGAGTTTGCAGAGAATACACAGCATAGAAAGGCAGATGGAGAAAAGCATGGGGAGCATGTGAGCCATAGACAAACTTCAGCTTTATTTCTTGCTCTTCTGTGCTACTCACACATTATCTTACCATTCTCCACGCCTCAGTTTCCCAAAGAATTGCTTTGAGAAAGAAGTGATTCCCAGCCGGGCACGGTGGCTCATGTCTATGATCATATCACTTTGAGAGGCTGAGACAGGCATATCACTGAAAGTCATGAGTTTGAGACCAGCCTGGCCAAAATGGTGAAACCTCGGCTCTACTAAAAATATAAAAATTAGCTGGGCATGGTGGTGGACCCCTGTAATCCCAGCTGCTAGGGAGGCTGAGGCAGGAGCTGCTAGGGGGGCTGAGGCAGGAGAATCTCTTGAACCTGGGAGGCAGAGGTTGCAGTGAGCCAAAATCCAGCCTGGGTGACAGAATGAGACTTCGTCTCAATCAATTCATAGAAAGTGATTCCCTACAAAAGTAAAATTTACCAACTCTACAGGGATATTACATTCTTGACATACATACCATAGAGTATTTATTAACCAGTGAGAGGGCCAAGGTTACCTTGACTTCTGACAATTAAGATTCCAAATCAAGTCAGTTACCACAGTGCCTTACACCAAATCAAAAACACCTAGAGGGCTGTTAACATAGGGATTAAAGGCTCCAGTTTTGAGGTGACAAGGCACTGGGTTGGAGCCCCAACTGTTACCTTGCGTCACCTTGGCAAATCTTCAACCTCAGTTTCCTCATTCAAACAATGGACTGCTATGAAGATTAAATAACACACTGCCTGGTACAGCACGTGTAGGAAGCATCATGTAGTAGCTAGCATCACCATGCTAGTGGGAGTGTGAACTGCTACAACCACTTTGTAAAACTGTGTGGTAGCATCTACAAAAGCCAAACATACCCATAACCTATGATCCAGCAATGACAACCCTGTGTATATACCCAAGAGATCTGAAAACATAATTCATCAAAAGGCATATACTAACATGCTAATGGCAGCACTACTTATAATAGACCCACACAGGAAACAAACCAAATACCAACAGCAGAATGGATAAATGAATTGCGTTAAGTCACATGATACAACACAGCAATAAAAATAAGCCATGTAAACACAACACTGTGAATGAGTCTCACAAACATCATGTTGAGTGAAAGAAAATGGGCACTGAAAGAGTACATTCAGCCAAGTGCAGTGGCTCATGCCTGTAATCCCAGCACTTTGGGAGGCCAAGGTAGGAGGATCGCTTGAGGCTAGGAGTTTGAGACCAGCCTCGGCAACATAGTGAGATCCTGTCTCTACAAAAAATAAAAATAAAAAAATTAGCCAGGCCTGGTGGCATCCACCTGTAGTCCCAGCTACTCAGATGACTGAGGTGGGAGGATTCCTTGAGACCAGGAGTTTGAGGCTACAGTGAGCCATGATCATGCCACTGCACTCCAGCCTGGGAAACAAAGCAAAACCCTGTCTCAAAAAAAAAAAGAACATTCCAACATTCCATATGATTCCATTTATATAAAGAACAAGAACAGGCACAATTAAGCTGGGCGGACAGATGTTAAGATAGTGATTACTCTTGCGAGGACAAGTTACTGAAAGGGGATAAGAGATAGACTTCTGGCAAGCTGGAAATTTTCTGTGTCTGGTGCTAGTAAATGGGTGTATTCAATTTGGAAAAGCTGATCGAGCTCGCACTTCTGTGCATTTCTCATTAAAAAGATAAATTTTTCTTTTAATGGTCCCTTCCCTCCTCCCTCTCCAGCCTTTTGTTCTCCATACCTTCAGGAGTCAAGATGCTTTTAACGTTCTGTAGAAAAGATTGCTCCACAAATGCTGGGGGTGGACAACTCATTCCCAGTGTTGGGTCCTTACTGTCAACATCAAACATTATGACATCGTAGCAAGGCCGTGCTGGGAAAAAGAAGGAAACAAGTCCTTGTCTTTGCTGGATAAAATAATACCATTTACATTCCTACACTATACCTCCTCTTTACCAGTGGTGGGCATGGTGACTAAGTCAGAAGGATGACACAGAGGATGTGGTTTGCCTATAAGGGCACTGACATCATGGCCCAGGGCAGTCCTTGTCATCAGGGTTCAGAGTGTCCCATAGTAAAGATGGAACATTCTTCC